CTTTGTAATGTAGCATATGTGTGATAGGTCGACTTTGGATGGGAAAAGACACACTAATCAATGAGGCAATATTGAAAAATTAAAATAGATCCATTTCAAAAATATTTTGTAAATTCATGCAATTAATGCATTTTCTGCAAAACCGTGCCTAAAATAGGCTTCAGAAATACCCCATGCGCACCTGTTAATCTCGGTCCATTTACCATGCCCAACCCGTCGCAGCTGTCAATCTCGGCCCATTTGTTAAATCTATTCATTTAATGTTGATGTTGATTGAGACATAAAGTGATTGATTAATGTAACAAGTAGTTCATTGCATTTGATACATTGCGTTTCCCAAGAAATTTGCCCAATTACGGCAGACCTACACGCCTAGACATCATCCAGCTTGCATTGCCAGTGTTCGGCCCATGTTTAGCAGCCCACATGCAGTGGCCTGGTCCAAAAAATGGACGAGAAAACTATTTATTTTTGCCTCACATCTTTGTATAGATTAAGTGATACTTCTTCCGTCCTAAAACTTTTTTCCCGGTTCGTAAAATGAAGAAAAATCTCAAGTTTTTTCAATCTATTTTATTTAAATATTGGTATAGAAATAAAAAATAAAACATACATATTTAAAACTACATCAAAAGTTCAACAAAACAAGTGGCGACAAGAATATTTTATTTTATCATATAGGCCATGAAAAAATACAAATAAATATAAATTCCCGTGAAGTTGAAATAGTGCTATGAGAAGAAAGTTTTAGGACGGAAGGAGTATACTTTTAGGATGGGTATGGACAACTGAATTGGGTAATAAGACATTTAGGTTGAATCGCATTAAAAGATTGAATCCAATCTGTTACTTAGTTCAACTCAATAGCTTATATGCTGGTTTATTTTCTCTTCAAGTTCCGATGTGAGATACTCTTCAACACTCCCCCTCAAGTGGACAACCGGGTCATTTTGAATCTAACCGGTTGACCACTTGCAAATGAATTCTCATTCCCTTGCTTTTTTTTAGCGCCAACACCTAAAGAACCACGAGCTGCTAGGTATGGACTTCCAGACAAGCAATCGTGTTAAACGGGTCATAGGCCGTTGGGTACACACACTCCATACGGACAACTGGACTAAAGACTACTGGGCCGCTAGGAATGAACATCTAAACGGACACCTTGACAAACGAGGTGGGCCAAAAGCTGCTCTGATACCATGATAGAATTTAGGATGGGGTATGGAGAACTTGATTGGGTAATAAGACACTTGGGTTGAACCACGTTAAAAGATTGAATACAATCTATTAGTTAGTTCAATTTAAGAGCTTATATACCGATTATTTTTCTCACACTTTTCCGATGTGGGATACTCTTAACATTAAGATTCAATAGATTTTAGATAGTTGTTTTTATCCAATAAAAAGTTACAAAGTAACTGATTTTTATAGCCTGAAAAGTATATATCCTCGTGAGATTGACCCCTTACGTATCTTATCTATGAGTTTGATAAATATTACGGATGATGGTGTAAATTATCGACCGGTATATCATTTTTAGCCCGGCTAAAACGATAAACTAGTGTAAAAAATACACCAAACTATAAACACGAGGATTTTTACGTGGAAACCCAAATCGGGAGAAAACCACGGGCCTTTTTTGGCGGTACCTTGCTAACGGGGAATTTTTATTAATATCGAGGGTGTGTACATGGTACAAGAGTTGAGCTCGGAAGCCATTAATGGTGGAGTTAGAAGCTCTTGAAGAAGAAGAAAATATGCTATCTAGAGAGAGAAAGAGTGAATGGCAGGGGAGAGTGTGATTTTTCCTCCTCTTCACATTGGGGGCACCCCTCCTTTTATAGGAGGAGGGGAGCATCTTCGGAGGAATATTCTCTTATTCCTCTATTTTATTAAACAGACACGGTTTGACTGTTCTTCGTAAAATAATTGGGAAATGTGGGCCGTGCCACGTATTATTTCCCATCAACGGAGTATTTTAAAAAGAAGGATTTTAAGTTAAGGAAAATAATAAATTAATTTTTAAGGTGCAGTGACATGCCTATCAGTATTAAGAAAATCATCGAGTACAAGTTCGACGGGGATGAGAATAAGGTGAAGGTCACCACCATGACACGCACACAGAAGCTTGTCAAGGCTCGTCTTAGTAAACGGGCAATCGAGCGCCGGTCATGACGTAAATATAGATATTAATGATCAAGTGCAATATTGGAGATCGTAAAATGTCAAATGAGGAAAATATTTTCCGACAGAAGGAGTACTAAGTAAGTAACTAATTCTTTTTTTAAAAAAAATTAATGGGTCTCAATAGGTTATACCGGAGTAAAAATTTTAAAAAGATGATAAATTAATTAAACAAGGGAAGATGAGATGAAATGGTGGAGCCGGGTCTGACCGGACAATGAGCTCTCATTTGAAGATTTATTTTATTTTAGAAAATGTTAGGGGTACACCAAAAGTGTATCCTAAACATTCCACACCCCCTCCTTCACTACAAAAAAAAAACAAGAAAAATTCAAAAAATAAAATAAAAATTAAAAACAAAATAAAATAAATAATAAAGAGAAGGGTTATGTACATTTGGGTACACCAACCCCTAGCATATCTCTTTATTTCAACCTAAATCCCCAAACTCGCCACCTCTCCCAAACTTGGGACACAATCACACAACTTTCTTTCATCTCGCCTCTGGGTCTGTCGGAGTAAATCTCACCTTAAAAATGCTCCATTTACTTTTAGTGTACGGCTTCCTCCGCCTGGCTTTTCTTCTTACTTTCACGCACCCCTCACCGAGTAGTTGTCATCCATACTCTCCTTCATGTTGCCAATGTCAGGGGCATTAAGAAAGTCGTCGATTACAAGTTCGATGGGGATAAAAGCATTAAAAATGATTTCACATGTATTCAGAAAATCTTTGAGTCACGTAGTACTTCATGAGTTATAATCACATAAAAGTTTCTCAACTTATAAGTTATTCCATAAAAATGATTCTAGAGATTAGGTATGCTTACAATCAGGTTAGCGTCAAGATATGCAGACAGACCCTACCTTTATGAAATTCCATTAGGTAGTGTTTGGCAACTACTCCCTCCGTTCCTTTAAACACTTCCACTTTTGACTTTTGGCAAAAATAAGGAAAGTGTAATTTTGGTTGACTTTCCAATTTTGCCCCTGATGTGATAGGTAAAAGTAAGATGTGATAGTTTGGTTATTAGGGAAAAAGTATGATGTGATAGGTAGGGTATGAAAAAGTAAGGGTAAAAGTGGTTTTTTAATAGAAAGTGGAAGTGTTTTAGGGAATTCAAAAAAAACGAAAGAGGAAGGGTTTTGTGGAACGGAGGGAGTAGCATTTCATTTCAATTCATGCATTTCAATTCCAAAATTTGAAATCCTGAATTTCAAATGACAAGGGGAGGTGCATGGATTTCGAATTAAGCTTTGTTTTGAACGTTAAGAATTTGATTCAAATCCAAACTCAAAATGCTTAAGTTTCCCAAACATGAAATTTGAGCCAAATCCGGATTTGAAATTCAAATCCATGTTTCCGAACATACTATTAGGTTATTGTTGTTGTTTATAAACACATTCAAAAATCCACAAAATATTACTCGTATCTCCTTTCCGAAAGATCATCAAGTGTGACTTTTTTATATGTAGTATCAAATTGTGTTATATTTTCGTCACGAATTGAGATAAAAGTATATTTACTTATAATGTAGGTTCAGTAAAGCAGATTTCATTTTAATACGGAGTATATAATTTTGATATATTCAATTTTTATAACATACAATTATCTAAAAATTTATGTAATAGGTGGTCAACGTTTTGTAGAATTTAACAAAAAAATAAATTTTAATAACTTTTTGGGACAGAAGAAGTATAATATTAAAATACTGCCCAAAATAAGAGAGAAACGTATTTCTGGGACGTCTAAGCTTGCTTTCCAAAATGAAAGTGGTATACTCTCTTCGTCCGTATTTCTGTTTCATTTTTTGCACATCCCATGAAACACTTCTACTCACATCTAAAATTCCTAAAATTTACAATATTTTTTCTTTATTGTAGGTAGAAGTTGTTTTGAAAGTTTTTTTTGGCATTTAAGGCGGGATAGAAGTATATTATATGATGCGCAAAAATGAAACAGGAACATCGACGGAGGGTGTATTATATAATCGAGTATGTTGACATTTTATATACTCCCTCCGTCCCGGACTATTCGTCAAGTTTTGACTTTTGGAACTATTCATCTAAGCACTTTGACTCATCAATTTTCTCCATGTGTAAGCCTAAATATAGTCATGTGTGATTTTTTATTTGTCTTAACATATACTCCGTAGATTATGAATATATAATTTCTATAATTTTTTAATATACAAATTACAAGATAAAATGGATTAGAGAAGTGTATTGGATGGTGTGTAAAAATAAAAGTGGACAAATACTCTGGGACGAAGTAGTATTTTTTTGGTTTTTATGTTCAGACATTTCTCATGTCTGAACAACTACGGAGTATTTAAAAATTAGAAGTATAAAACTCTTATTTTACTAATTTTGTTTACTATTGTGTATGTTTTTTTTCAATAATCATTTACGTAATACTATCTCCGTCCCATAGTATTTGTATACTTTTATTTTTACACATCATTCAATATACTTATTTAATTCATTTTATCTTGTAATTTGTATATTAAAAAATTATAAAAATTATATATTAATAATCTATATGTTAAAACAAATCAAACAAGATCACACATGAATATATTTAAGTTTATACATTAAAAGAATTTGATGAGTCTAAATGTTTAAATGAATAATCCAAAAGTTAAAATTGAACAAAAACTATATGAGAAAGGGAGTATATGTATTATGGGAGTATGGGGCTATAAGGAGTTACGATTACACATTTTCCCCTCTTTTTGACGATCATGTTTCAATTCTCAATTCACTTAACCAAATCCCTTCCTATAGAAAACAAAAAACAAAAAAAAAGTCCGTTTTCACTGAAACCTATAAAACCTCCAGAACATCTCCAGCCCCATTTCTGCTTACTATCCGCAGTAAAGGCTTCTTCTTTATCAAGAAATCCTGCAGATCTGCTGCTTTCTTCAGGGGCGGAGAGATTTTTGAGTCCGCATGAAATCTTAAATCGGGCAGAGATAGACGGAGGAGATGATGGGCAATGGGGATCTGTTCAAATCCTCGACGCTCATAAAAATGGCCGCCCTGGCTTCCTTAGCCGTCGCTTTCTTCTACTTCGGCAAGCACTGGTCGTACGGCCGACAGCCGCCGCTCGTCTTCTTCAATTCCCGCCAATACACTTCTCCTTCCGCCGGTTCGGACCCTGCCGTTTTGCTCTCCCCTAATTTTAACAAAACCTTCGATTTGTCGTCTGTCATAAACGAAACCGCCATGGACAGTGGCCAGCAGCAGCTCAAGGAAGAGGAGAAGCAGAAACAGCAGCCGGATGCTTCCCCTCCTCCCCCGCTGCATCCGCCACCTCCCCCGCCCACTCCGGCTTTTCAGAGAATGGGGGTGGTGGACGAGAATGGAGTGATGACGGAAGAGTTTGAGGTGGGGGTGTTCGATGCGGACGTAGTGGACAATTGGGGGCAAGGGAATGAGACGAATGTGGATGAGAGGGAGGAAGGGAAGAGTGTTAGGGTTAGTAAGTTTCCATTGTGCTCAAATAGCTTCAGAGAATACATACCTTGCTTAGACAATGCCGAGGCCATTCAGAAATTGAAATCCACTGAGAAAGGAGAGAAATTTGAGCGGCATTGTCCTGACAAAGACAAGGTCTTGAATTGCTTGGTTCCTGCACCTAGAGGTTACAGAGCTCCCATTCCATGGCCCAGAAGTCGCGATGAGGTATGTGGAAATGATTGTATTGGTTTATAGAAGTGGTTGATTGTCTCCTTGAAGGACTCATTATCATAGAAAACAGATCTTTGAGGCTAATGGATTACACATGCAGGTTTGGTTCAGCAATGTCCCACATGCTCGCTTGGTTGAAGATAAAGGAGGCCAAAATTGGATTACAATAGACAAGGATAAGTTTAAGTTTCCTGGAGGTGGTACTCAATTCATTCACGGGGCAGATCAGTACTTGAATCAGATTGAAGAGGTGAACATCTTGGCTTAGTATTTTTTGCTAGTAGTTTGAACAGTTTTACTTCCCCATCTTTCAGACATTTTGTCCTAAAAATGAGTCCTTTTTATAAGTTGACTTTCATATAATGCTCTAGTTACAAAATCTTTTAAACAAATTAGCTGTTAATTGTTCAAGATAAACTAGAATATCATCTTACTTCATCCCAAGATCTCAAATCATGACTGAAGCAGTACTGTCAGTTGTTTGGTGACAATAGCTAGAGTGGTCGATTTAAAACTTAGGGGCTGTTTGTTTCAGCCTCTTAATGGTTCAGATGTCTGGATGATTCAGCACTTAATGGTTCAGACTGTTTGTTTCAGCCTCTTAATGGTTCAGAAGTTTGAATGGTTAAGAGATTTGCCTCTGAATGGTTAAGTATTATACAGAGTCTGAATGGTTAAGAGCTCTTATCTGAATTGATCAGACATTTGCCTCTGAATAGTTAAGCAATATACTAGCTCTTAATGGTTCAGACCTCTTACTGGTTCAGCACTTAATGGTTCAGACCTCTTATTGGTTCAGCACTTACCTATTCAGAAGTTACCAAACAGCCCCTTAGAACGATAAAGAAAACTTTAGGGAAAGTGACCATTTATAACTTGTAAAAAGAGCTGTCTAAAAATAAAAATTTCGACATTATCCATACAAGACATTTTTATTTTGGGACAACGGGAGCAATATTTTAGTCCTTAAGATTTTAATATCTGGTATTATATTTTGGAACTATGATAGATGGTCCCTGAAATTGCATTTGGGCGCCATACACGTGTTGCTTTGGATATTGGCTGTGGTGTGGCAAGCTTTGGTGCTTATCTACTATCACGTGATGTGCTCACCCTCTCAATTGCTCCAAAAGACGTCCATGAAAACCAGATTCAGTTTGCACTTGAGCGTGGTGTACCTGCCATGGTGGCTGCTTTTGCTACGAGGCGTTTATTATATCCGAGCCAGGCCTTTGAGTTGATTCATTGTTCTAGATGCAGGATAAATTGGACACGTGATGGTAAGATTCTATGTTTCTATGAGTTATTGATTTGACCTTCGTCCCTCCAATTATTATTTTTTTGATAAAAATGTTTCAATGAGACATATAATAAATTTATATGATGCAGACAATTGTGATAGATTCATATGGCAGTGGACATTTTATTTAATACAGAGTATATCATAATTCACTAACTTCCCTGCTTTTGGATTACATTGACCTTCCTCCCTCAAGTTCATAACCAGTAACTTTTTGGAACTCCTGTAATTTTGCAAAACAAGCTTCATTTTGGAATTTCAAGATACAATATACTCCGTAACATTTTTTCCACAATTTTCCCTCTATTAAGTACCTCATTTAGTTGCCCGGTACATTTTAATTGTAGCAATACAAGTCATTTTCACTAGTAGGAGTAATTTAAGACAGGATTCTAATAAAGGGTGTTATGTACTGTTACTTATTTCTTAATGTGTGAATCCTTCTAAACAACACTTATTAGAGGGAGTAGTATTGTGAAGTCTTTTAGCTGTGGTACAAGTCGTGTACTAGTGGTTCCACATTTATGATGTTCATGTCTTCAAGTGAAAGAATTTATGCCGGAATTTGTTTATACTCTCATTAAAAAAATCCATGTAATATGATTATGTGCATTTATTTTATTTCTGTTACTAATGATTCACGTGCTGCACTTTTATGAAGATGGTATTTTGCTACTTGAGGTCAACCGGATGCTTCGCGCCGGAGGCTATTTCATTTGGGCCGCACAGCCTGTTTATAAACATGAACCAAACTTAGAAGAGCAGTGGGAAGGTAAACTAATTGGGTGATCTGATTTACTCATTTTCAGCTTTGTTATTAGTTCAAAAGTGAGAAAGCATAATCTGTTGGGACTTGGGAATAATGGGATGCCCTTTTAATTTCTTTATGCTCTTTCTTATCCTTCGTTCTTTAATAGTTTCTACACTTTTGCTTTTTTGGAAGTCTTCAAATAATTGCAGCATTTCTATTTTGCGTAGTACAAAAAGCCCTAAACAAATATAATACCCTTTCTTTCCCACCACCTAACAGGCTAACAGTAGTATTATCCTCTCTTTTTCTTCTAATCAAAGGGCAAGGCCATAAAAAATATACATCTCCCTTATTTTTGTTCTCATCTTTATGTTGCATTTATTAAGGAATAAAGAATGGAGGAGGTGTAATGTCATTAGTTTTTCATCCTACTGGAGTAATAGTGTTGCTATCAAAAAAAAGAAAATTTGATTTTGGCATTTTATCATTTTTATATGCAGAGATGGTTAATCTTACAAACAATCTTTGCTGGAGACTTGTGAAGAAGGAAGGTTATATTGCAATATGGCAGAAGCCTTTAAATAACAGCTGCTATTTAAACCGAGTGGAAAGGAGTCATCCACCATTATGTGGACCAGATGATGACCCAGACAATGTCTGGTATACATCTCTCTGCCAACTTTACCAGCTTAAAATATTTTATAATATTGTTTGCCGAAGCTCTACACTTATTTTAGGTCATTGAGATTAGTGATTCATGTTTGTCTCTAGGTATGTTGATTTGAAAGCATGCATTACAAGACTCCCAGAGGATGGGTATGGTGCAAATGTGACGAATTGGCCTGCCCGCCTTAAAGATCCTCCAGATAGGCTGCAAAGCATAAAAGTTGACGCTTATATATCTAGAAAAGAGCTTTTCAGGGCTGAACTGAAATACTGGGTTGAAATAATTGATGGCTATGTCCGTGCATTGCATTGGAAGAAGTTCAAACTTAGAAATGTGTTGGACATGAGAGCCGGTTTCGGAGGGTAATCGCCCCTCCCCCGTACATATTTCATGACTTAATTTTTTCTTTCTCTAGCTGGTTTGGCTTATGAGGAGGTTAACCGTGATCCTTCCAATAGATTTGCTGCAGCACTGATTGAAGCCAAGTTTGATTGTTGGGTTCTGAATGTGGTTCCAGTTAGTGGACCAAACACTTTACCTGTTATTTATGACCGTGGACTTATTGGGGTTTTGCATGATTGGTAAGTAAAGGTCCGACTAGTCATTTTGAGTAGTGGCCTGGCGCTCTTACATTTATATATCATTAACAAAGTTGCATCATCATCTTCCAGGTGTGAAGCGTTTGATACATACCCAAGAACATATGATTTCTTGCATGCTAATGGCCTCTTTTCCATTGAGCGAAAAAGGTAATCTTTAACTTTGTTCTGATCTCTTCGGTTGCATGAGAAAAAGTTTTGTTGGTGAAAATGTTTAACTTTGTTCTGGTCTCTTTTTCCTCGTATAATAATAAAGTTTGATTTAAAAAACAGAAAACGATAAACTGATTATTTTCCATTATATCCCAGAAAGTAATATCCTTCCAGAAAATCTCATCTGCCCCCCAAAAAACTGGAAAGCCAAAAGAATGTTATCCAGATGTTCAGTCAATCAGAACCTTAAGTGCAAGAAAATATCTGTTACCCCTCCCATTCCAAAAATGATGTCCTCAATCCAGTTGGCTAAGGTTAATAAATTGAATATAAAAGAAAAAAATTGGGAAAATATAATATTCCCCGATGATGTAAACTGGCAACTACTTTGGGAGGAAAAAAAGTCATACTCTCTGGAAGAGAGTAAAATTTGGGTCAAGGTCTTCCAAATTTACCCTGAGTAGGGTGACCCAATTTCTTTACTTTTTTGTTAATGTCATGTTCTTTGATATCCTCTCCTGTGTCCCTCACTTCATCAGATGCAACATTTCCGCCATCATGCTTGAAATGGATCGGATATTGAGGCCGGGTGGACGGGTATACATCCGTGACTCTGTTGCGGTCGTGGATGAGCTTCGGGAGGTTGGGAATGCTATGGGTTGGCATGTCACAGTACGAGAGACATCAGAAGGCCCTCACGCCAGCTATAGGATCTTGACCGGTGACAAACGCCTCTTGCGAGCCTGAAGAAGTAGTAGAAAGATTCTGATGATTACATTCATTTCCAAGAAAGATGGAAGTAACTAACAAGTAACAACTACTGCTATACTCTTCCTTGTTTCAGTCACAGCTGTGTTCATGTGCTGCATATCGTAAATATTTGGCCTCAACGTGTAATATCTTTACTTCGGGAGGGTTCTTTTGGAAGTCAAAAACTCATTTGCTGCAAACCTGATTTGATATCCTTCTGTGTTTCTTTTGACTCCCAATGCCTAAGCATTCGCGCCACAATAGTTTCGCCTCTCCCCTCTCACCAAAGTCAAACAACGACAAAAATCATTTTGGTCATCAAATTTTCATGTGTGTGTCTTGTATTTTACCATCTGTTCGTTCTGTTGGAATATGTATTTCTCGTTGGTTTCTCTCCTTTTGATTTCTGTCCTTTTTAAATGGGTTGCTTGCTTTATACATTTTCAAAGTTTTACACCATTCAAGTGATGTATTAAAGTGTAATTTGTACTGTTATGGTTCATCTTGTTACACTCCAAGAATTCAAGGTACTGTTATGTGCAATTGTGCATAGATTAAAATTTGAACTTTAAATAAGGAGTGTCTCGACGACAATAATTTGTAAAAAAAGTGTGGTTTCAAACTCCATATATGTGTAGGAATGAATTCTAAACTCGGGATTTGTGACCGTGAGTGTATTGAACTTGGATTTTAAATATATATTCTCTCCCTCTGCCATGGACAAAATTACTTCAATTTTGAATACATTGACTAATTTGAATATTTTCAAATCCTACGTAGTATAGAGACGGCTTAACACAATAGCTAACATAGTTTTTAGAGCTTCAGCTTCTCCATTTTGATCCTCATGTATTGGCCGAGTTCCTTACTTGTAAAGAGATGAACGATACTTCAAATTAAATTTAATCAGTTATTGTGAAGATAGTTGAAAATGTACAAATGAAACAACCTATTTAGATTGGAAAAAATTGAAAATGCATTTTTTAAGTGCTATTGACTCTAGTACAAACTAGTGTTTGCTCATATTATTTTCAAATTAATGATGCTCAAATAGCCAATGTATCCATCTCTGCTCGGACTCGAACTTGGTGAACTTTCTCATGAAATGAATCTTAAGCAGTAGACTTCCTACCACTCAAGCTAGGAATGAAGTTTATCAGAAACTCATTTAGAATGAATATAAATTGAAATGTCAAAAGGCAAAAGAGAGATCTTTCAATGGGGGAAAATGATTAGAAAATATTTCCCCTGTCCCATTTTAAGTTGTCTGTTTTCCTTTTTTCTGTCCCAAAATAAGTTGCTTGTTTCTTGTTATCATAAACTTTTAAGAGTAAAATACCTAAACTACCTCTAAAATAAGTCACTCTTCTCCATTTTATTTTGTCATTCATCGTCACCCATCCTAAAAAGTACTGGTAATTTTAGAAAGTCAACTCTATTTTTTCTCCCTTAAATATGTCCTAAAGTCAAAATGAGCGATTTAAAACGGGACGGAGGGAGCCCATAAAGTTGGACCATCAAATTTTATTTTTACAATCATGCTACACTTACACAAAAAAATGTACCCCATTTGTACACCACAGTTATGCACAAACATTTTAATGGTTTACACCGACACAAGTGTTGGTGCGTTAACAAAAATTTACACGGACACGAAGTATTGGTGCGTTAACAAAAATTAATTTTACACCAATACAAAATGTTGGTGCAAATCTGTGGGGTACAAAAACATGGGGTACAAATAACTTAATCCTTTTTTTATGATGAGGAGATCAATATAATCGTAAAACTAGACCTCATTACTATTTTTTTTGAAACTATGACGATATAGGAGTATAGAATATGAATAAATATAGCTCGTGTGCCTCACTTGAATGAATTTCATCCATTTGTATTTCACCATTTGGGAGTGCGGCTGAAATTTGCTAATGGTGGCCTGACGATTGATTGGTTTCCATTTTCTAGACTACATGGTCATCAAAGTTCATTTTTCCACGTTACCACTGTTTGGTTACTGCCGACTCAAAAAGAGACTCCCCCTCCCCCCTCCTCTCAACTCTCTACCGAGCATTTGGATGACAATGCATAATAACCACATTTGGAGGGGGTAAAAGAGAAGTCTAAGTGTGGTGGTGGGGTGTGGTTGGGAGTTTAGGGAGAGGTTATGGGGGTAAAAATTGTTAATTTTGCAAACAGAACATTGAAAGTGCTCCAAATGAGCAAATGTCATCCGTTGACACTAGAAACAAGGGTCAACAAAACTTTGCCGTATTAATATTCTCATTTCATAATTGCAATCATATATTCCCTCTGTGTTATAAAGATTGGGATATTTTGACTAAAGTGATCAAATACGGAGAGGTAATTTTGTGTTAACTTTCAAAAAATATCCTTAATGTGATGGATAAAAATAGAATGTGATGGGTAAATTATTTAAAAAATGGTATGATGTGATAGGTAAGGCATGAAAAAGTAAGGAGTAAAAAATGGTTTTTGGTAGAAATGGAACAGACTTTAAGGGACACAAATTTTTTGAAACGGGACTGACTTTATAGGATGGAGGGAGTACAATTTTGAATTTTTAAAAATATGATAGTCTTCCTGTATCCCTTCTCCACGAAAAACTACCATTCCGATCCGCTGTAGCTTCTGGAGACCCTCCACCACACGCAGCAGTTTCATTTTACAAACTCAAAAGATCAACACAAACATGCAAACGTAAAACCTTTGAATAACGTGCTCAAAAAAGCACTCGAAAGCCTTCCCATTTGAAAACAATTCTATCCATTCAAATGGACCCTTGAAAGAAGACAATGATACAGTTAAAAGAGTGAAACAGAAAAGGAATACACCATGATACAAACTAATGCAAAACCATAGGACCAATCTGCAATTTGCTTATCAGATTCTAATCCCACTGGAGTCGCGGAGTCTTGGCAGGTCTACGCACTATACTCTGTGGTTGTCCATCAGATGGGTACATAACAGGTTGTAAGACTTGTAACCAACCCTGAGGAGGGGCACCAAATGCCTGCCTCGACTGCATAGCAGGATGTGCCCAAGCATGAGGATGGCCACCAAATGCTTGCCCTGGCTGCATAACAGGATGTGCCCGAACTTGCTGGGCACCAAATGCCTGCCCTGGCTGCACCCAAACTTGAGGAAGGGCACCAAACACCTGCCCTCGCTGTGCCCAAACTTGAGGGAGGGCACCAAATGCATGCCCTGGTTGCGCTCGAACTTGATGGGCACCAAACGCCTGCCCTGGCTGCATAACACGTTGTGCCTGAACTTGATGGGCATCAAATGCCTGCCCTGGCAGCATAGCATGCTGTGCCTGAACTTGATGAGCCCCAAATGCCCGCCCTGGCTGCATAACGGATTGTGCCCGAACTTGAGGGGCACCAAATGCCTGCCCTGACTGCGCAACAGATTGTGCCCGATCTTTAGGGTCACCAAATGCCTGCCCTGACTGCGCAACAGATTGTGCCCGGACATGAATGGAACTAAATGCTTCTTGCCCTGGCTGTGTAACAGGCTGTGCCTGAACTTGAGTAGGGGCACCAAATGCCTCGCTGACTTTTGGCTGAGGGTGAGGCTGCTTGTTTCCTGTCGGCTGAGGCTGCTTGGTTTTTGTCGGCTGAGGCTGCTTGTTTCTTGTCGGCTGAGGCTGCTTGTTTCTTTTCGGCTGAGGCTGCTTGGTTTTTGTCGGCTGAGGCTGCTTGGCTCTTGTAGCATTGGTTGTTGCACACAATTTTAACACTTGTGATCTCACAAGAGTAGACATAAGCAAATCTGGGTTTTGGTTGGGAGATACAAGCACATCATATGTCCTATTGAAAGTCTGTGCTATCCTCAGGAGTTGTTTTTTGCTTACAACCCTTGCTGCATTCATTGGCTGTTCAAATGGATCTTCAATCTGTTAACAGTTAACACAAACAGAGAATTATCAGAACCATTCAACAATTTACACCAAGTACCTGTTTGGTAGGCATGAACTATTTCTGGCTTATTGCATTTGATTGTTCACCAAACACCAACTTATTTCATGACACTTAATTGGCTGAGAGTAAGAAATAAGCAGCACAAATGTCAAGTGTAGTGTTCAAATTGATGAAACTAATGAAAATGATGCTTCAACATTAAATTTTAGATATTATTTTCTTAAAAAAAAACTAAAAAACATATGTTAAGTAAATTCGATAAATCAGCCATTTTCACCAAATTTGTGTTGATTCAGACATTTTAAGCTTTGCCAAACGAGCTCTATTTATTTATTTTTTTGGATAGATATAGTTGGAGAAGATTACAATTAAAGGATACTTATTAGGTAACCATCTCATGTTGCCTTCAATGTCCTCCCATTGTCCAGCATATGTATTAATCCCTTGCTTAGGGGCTCTTGAACTCAAGTCACGTAACTGTAAAATGAACAAAAGGTTACCATAGTGAGTCTGTGATGGAATGTCAGAAATAACCAAAAAAATCCAAGTCATAAAACAGTACAGAGAAATTGCTCACCCCAGCAATGAATGAGGTGAAAAGCGCAGAAAGAGAACTCTGATTGTGAGCTCTCGACACATTTTGTATGAATCGATTAATGTTGGATGAGCATAATTCCTGCATATTCTTTTGCTCAACCCTTGCTTCTGCAAAAGAGTTTTGCAACTAATACATAAATTGGGGCAAAATGCATAAGAGTCAAAGCAAGGTTTAAAAGGTCAAATACCAATGCTCCAGTTTCATTATCTATAGACTATTATAAGGGTAAAGTGTTCTTTACAGGAAAAGACAAATGCAATTGTGGCAAGCACCTTTAATATCAACCATAACATTTCCAGGGTAAATTTCTTTTAGCGGGGGTAAAATTGGAGGCACACACGTCTGCATAGAATATGGTACACAGTTAGATTATAAGATAAAGAATAGGTAATTTACCGAAAACAAAACTAAATAAGGTTCTACAAGCAGGGCTTGTGAGACAAATATAAAGATACATTATACCACCTATAAGGAGATGCTATTTCCAAAAGATCATGGGATAAAACAAAAATCACCTGAAAATGGAAGATGACAAGCAGGCAGAGCGAATACGAGTTTAGAGTTGCACATTTTGAGTTGTTGATGTTATGTGTCTTTGCCCACTCCTTGACCTTCCAGAAGAAAAGGCTTTTAAAACACTCTTAAAAAGAAGGTGACATTTTGGTAAACTGTAATGAAATGGAAGTGATGGAATCAAATGCATGTTGTATAAGACCACATTACATTCCATCATAATTTATCAAATCCATATGCTGTTGCATCAATAAATGTTACAAAGAACAAACCAGTAAAACCATGTCACGAAAACGGCCATCAATCGAGCTGATCCAGTACAATAACTTCGACTTTATTTTACCATCAATACTATTTATTGATAAATCACAAGAGATGTTGTGCTTTCCACGAAACATCAAAATGGGGACTCTTGCACTGCTGATTAATTTCAGTCTATTGTACCCGCCTACAAGAAGAAACAATCCAAACATTCAATTTTTCCCCTCCCAACTAAAACGTGCCAAGAACATCATAAGTACACAGAAACACACAGACCTCTACTTTTCAATTCTTTTAGTATGTCTATAAGTAAAGTTAGCTTCTCCTTGTTAGTAAGTGCACAAGCATTGCCCAACTCAACACATACATCAATATCTCCCCATTTTGTGAATAGATCCGACACAAAAGATCCATATGGTTCCACAGTTGCATCTGCTTGCCTCCATGATATGTGCAAAACCAAACAATATTTTAATTAAACTATAACATTAAAAAAAAGAAAACAGGAGCAGACAGAATGCAATTAAATAGTACATCTCAAACTATGCGTGTTTGAACAATTTTTAGTTCTGTTAAAAAAACACACACACACAGATAGAAAGGACATGTTATAACTGAAAAGTACCTTTCAGACTATGTATGTTTTGAACAATAGCTCGAAGTTCTTGGATGACTTGAAATCTCTGAGACCGGTCCTCTTCTAAGGGATTGATTAAGCGGAGAATATTGTGGAGAGTACCCTCCAATGGGCTGTTCTCATTCATTTTAGGCACTGAAATAACAATAATCAATATCAAATGAATAAGAAAAATTATTCACTCGAAGCAACAAGATTAATACATGGGTCTGCACCAACAAAGAATACAATTCCTACAATTTTCTGGATTCTTGACAAATCAGCTACCCAACTTCAAAGCCATTTGCACTGTCCTTAAACTCAGAATTCCGCTTCGTCATGGAAACTGTACCCCGGCTAGTTATCTCACCAACTCAACTTGAATCTTGTCAAAAGGATCATTATAGATTGAGTTGTGATCAAAATACGGAAAATTATTAGGCGCTCTTTGGTGTTACTAATATGGTCCTCTTAATTCATGTTCACTAAAACTACCTCGGTAAAACTTGTCAATATCAAATCCCTAGTCTTTGGAAAGTTGATACATGACAGAATATCACAAGAAATCAGATTCGCAACCATAAATAAGATTCACACAAGGCACTATATCAAGTGCTGGCAAGAAACTAAGAAATATATGAATCAATATGTATCAACTGATGAGAGGTGAAAACAATTGAAAAAGAATGATTAATTGATTGACGGGGAAAAGAAATCTGAAGACCAGAGAAATAGATACTACCAACGATATACGGTTGCCGGCGGATTCAAAATGCACGGGGAGCAGAAAACCGGATAGCGACCGCCGTTAAATTCAGCGCGAAACAGAGACTAATAAACGCCGGCGAACCAATTACCGGAGTACATCGAGATTTGAAGATCACTGCAAAGCATGAAGAGTCCCAAATACGGTAATTTACTGCTGGCACACAAATCTAATCTTCCCTTCGCTCTTCCCGACATATTCATACAGAGTGTATTAAAACTTGAACTCATTTTGTTTACTTTTTTTTTTTACTACTTGCGAGTATTCCATAAAAAGCAAATTATAAGTATTTGTTTAATTTTTATTTTAGAAAAATCTAAAAACTAATTTTTATGTGAGAATATTTACAAAAAAATTTGGATCTTAAGTACACCAAAGAAGCACCATTCATAAAATAGTTTCAATTATATAAATTTTATTTTTAATTTTTACTCCTCGAAATCTTAGATTATACCTTCAGGTATACCTAGCTCAGTATATTCCATAATCAGCTAGTGTTCATTCTAAATCAAAGTACTGTTCATTTAGACTAAAAATAAGTGACATGGATTAGAAATATATAGTATGAGGAACAAAGACAGTATTTATCTAAACATTATATGTATTGCAGGTTCAGGATCTAGCTTGAATAGATAAATATTCCACTTGTGGTAAAATTAAGGATGACAATGAGTTGTGTTTAGATTGGATAAAGCTTCACTTTTATCCATTCATTAACTCAAACATTTAAAATCTCACTCATCTATCATGTGTTTCATCCACTATCCATCACTTATCAATTCAATGCCCCGAGTGAAACATGTGATTTTAATTTGCCATGTAAATAGAAAAATAATACTCCATTATCTCAAAATGTAAGCAAGAGTTACTATTTTAATCTCTCGATAATTTTTGTTTGTTTATTCATTTTTATTCACCATTTGATAAAATAAAATATTCTTATTACATTTTGTTTTGTACTCCCTCCGTCCCAAAAAGATCGTTACGTTTCATTTTTTGTGCATCACTTAAAATACTTTTATATCGTCTCAAATGCTAAAAAAACTTTCAAAACAATTTCATCTTATAATAAAGAGTAAATATGGTAAATTTTAGAATTCTTAGATGTGAGTAGCATTGCTCTTTGTGATGCGCAAAGAAATGAAACGTAACAATCTTTTTGGGACGGAGGGAGTATAACTTATTTTTGAACAATGTGATTTTTACTTTTTATTTTTCTACAAATTTGTAAATAAAATAATTTTAAAAGAAATTATATTTTGCATGTCGTTCGAAATGTTACTTGCATTTTGGGATGAAGTGAGTATATGTAAAGTACAAATTTTTAAATGCTCCCTCTGTCCCATAATTGATTACTCCCTCCGTCCCAAATATAATGTCTGTTCACTATTCACAGGATCAAACTTCATTCACTTTTTTTCTCTATTTTCGTTAGCAAATTGATAAAATAAAATATTGTTGTCACTACTAGTTTTGTAGATCTTTTGATGTAGTAATCTGATATAGGGGTGGGCAAACGGGTCCAGGAACCGTGAGTCGGAACAGAACCGACAGGTTCGGTCCGGGTTAGGGGCGGGTCCTTTTTTAAAAAAATTATAACGGTTCGGGTCGGTCGGGTTCTTATTAATTTTTGGACTGATCCGGTTCTCAGTTTTAAAATTCTACCGGGCCCAGACCGGCCCGTTTGTTAGTTAATAGGGAGTACTCCGTATTATTATTATCCGTATTACTTGGGCCAAAGCCCTACCCAATGTCCCAACTCCAATCCTTTCGGCCTTTCCCACAACCAGAAGATCAGAAGTCAGAACCCTTAGCAGCGGCTAATGTGTGAATCTGAGCACAGGCGGTCAAGGCGGAGAGACGGAGCATCCGAGCATAGACGGTGAGACGGAGAGACGGAGCATTCGAGCACAGACGGTGAGACGGAGCTTCTGAAGCGCTGCGTGACTGCGTCGATCGAGCACAAAGATCGCAGAGAAGCGCTAATCCCCATGTTCGTTCAGCTGTCCGGACACCACCGGTCACCTTAAATCGCCTTCTCCGGTGAATCTTGTCCCGTGGTACCTCTTCTCATCTCATCTTTTAATTGAAATATTCACCTCTTCATTTTCAATTTTTAATTTTACACAACCAGTATTTATCATCAATTAACAACCACAATTTAAAGTCAACAACAAAAACGTCATAGAGTGTAAAATGAAATGCACCCCTAAAGCAAGAAGAACTTTCTAATAAAATACCAATTAGATATCATCATGGCAAGAAGGCCAGATTTATAGTATGGTTTGATTATTTATATACTTTCCATCACATTGATTATTATCAGGAAGGACACAGTACATCTTTGGAGGGCTTAGTTTGATTATTTATGTACTTTCCTTTTCTCTTTTCTACAAACAAGCTTAGACTGTAATGACTTCACACCTCTTAATTTGTTGCAATATGTAATTGTTCCTTTAGAAGAATAAAAACTAGCATACCATTTTGTGTCATATAACTAAACGAAAGGTGCAAACTTCTTCACCAGGTGGCTACACCCACTACTTACCATTCCAAAAATGCTAAAATACGATGAAAAAAGTCATTGACTAGTTTATATAATTCAAACCCATGTTAGTTTTTATAATAAACTAACAAGTTCATCATCACCAATTTCACCACCACTTCTCCAATGAATGCCATTTGCAATTAGTCTTGTCTTTTTACATTGATGACTTAAAAGTTAAAACTGATGGTGGTGAGTAGTCTATTGTTATGGACTAATGGTGAATCATCATGTATGTATTATTAAATTATTTTTACTTCTTTATATTTTTAATATTAACATCATTAAAGTTTTGGACCCGTTGACCCGTGGAACTGGCCCGTTTCGAACAAGCTGGGTTAGATCCGGTTCCAATTTTAAAATTTTAAAAACCGTTCCGGCCCGGACCGTTTTAATAAAAACAAGCCGAGCCCAGATTATAGAAATCATGGCCCGAACCGGCCCGTGCCCACCCCTAATTTGAGATGTAATTTTTATTTTTAAATTTTATATCATTTGTCATATAAAATGATTTGAAAATAACTACAGTCAAACATCGTAGATCGAAACAGGCGTTATAAAATGGGACAGAGCCTGATGGATATAATCCACTAGTACCACCCGGTAAATTCACAGGCGCCCGGGGTACCAAATTCTGGCCCCCACATGACCTCACCAACCCCGGTATACTGACCAGGTGGATGTGCGGGTCAGACATGTGAGATCGTGACTTCATTCGCAGAGAAGGCTTGAAGACCACCCGGGTGGATGGCTTGAAGACCACCCGGGTGGATGACCTGAAGACTGCACGGGGTGGATGGCTTGAAGACCACCTAGGTGGATGACCTGAAGCCTGCCCGGGGTGGATGACCTGAAGCCTACCTGGGGTTGATGACCTGAAGCCTGCCCGGGGTGGATGACCTGAAGACTACCCGGGTGGATGACCTGAAGACTACCCGGGTGGATGACCTGAAGATTGTCCGGGTGGATGGCTTGGAAACTTGATGGCTTGAAGACTGTCCGGGTACACTGATCTCACACCAGTATTGCACATATTTTCCAACAAGCCTGAGCCCAATCGAATTGGGTACACCGATTGCACATCGGTTTCAGCAAAAAAAGGAGAGCCCAATCAGACTGGGAACATCGGGCCTACCCCGATCTTCGATATCTTTCCTTGAACACTTTTTCACCTGGGCAAGGTCATGGTGAACCAACCTACTCAGGATAAATAAAAAAACCAAAACTACCCACCCGATTAAGATTCAGATTCGAGTGAGTGACGGGGTCACGATGCATTTCCTTAACTTGGCTCGGAGGACTTTTTCAAGGACATGTTCTCCCGTTTGCATGGCCGAGGCCATGAAGGGAAAGAGTTGATTGCCTTGCTCACTCGGAGGACTAGAGCTCTTGTTCAATCGGGTGAAAGAAGAAATGACTCACATGATGAACTTGGAAGCATAGCCCGGGCATGCTTTATCAAAAACCACCCGGGTGGCTTATTTTCTACTCAGGTAGAAAGAATGGTGAGATGCGTTAGACCGGGTAAATTCAGCTCGGCCGTGAACAAAGAGATTGAGAGTTCGAACGGCTGGGGTCAAAATTCTACACCCGGTTGCTCAAGATCCCATACAGGCTTGGTACTAACCGGTCCCAAATCCAAAGATCCCAATGTCACCAATCAGTTGCTGGGACAATTGGAAGAACCGGATGCCGACATCCCGGTCAGAAAGTTCCTGGACAACGAACTTCTATGGATTCTACGCAGCCCAAGTAGTGGCGTGAATAGCCCGGTCAGAGCGCTCCTTCTCCAGGACAGCCTTTAGCTGGGCATTCTCCACCTCTAGCTGACCCGTGTGCCGGGCCTTCATCCGAAGCTTCTCATCTGTCAAGCACCTGACCAGCTGGGTGGCCCACTCTTGCCCGATCCGGGAAGAGGAAACGACGCGATGACAAGGCGGCGGTGTACCAAAATTCCGGAAAAAACTTTCCCGCCAACCATACCCGAGGATTTAAAAAATTCAAAATTATTCAGACACTTGATTCCCGCCCTTGATGGTGCCCACAAAGCCGAGAATCAGAGGACTCCTTGATGGATATAATCCACTGGTACCACCCGGTAAATTCACAGGCGCCCGGGGTACCAAATTCTGGCCCCCACATGACCTCACCAACCCCGGTATACTGATAGGGTGGATGTGCGGGTCAGACATGTGAGATCGTGACTTCATTCGCAGAGAAGGCTTGAAGACCACCCGGGTGGATGGCTTGAAGACCACCCGGGTGGATGACCTGAAGACTGCCCGGGGTGGATGTCTTGAAAACCACCTGGGTGGATGACCTGAAGCCTGCTCGGGGTTGATGACCTGAAGCCTGCCCGAGGTTGATGACCTGAAGACTGCCCGGGTGGATGACCTGAAGACTGCCCGGGTGGATGGCTTGGAAACTTGATGGCTTGAAGACTGACCGGTCGGAAGAACATGAATGTCGGGACGTGCTTGACGTGCTTGTTTTTATTATAATTACCCCTAAAAGCCTCATTTGTGAGGCATGCTTTAATGACATAATCGACACATCAGCGAGTTCATATTCAAGATGAAAGCCAATTTTGATTTTAATGTAGATTCGCAATGTGTGATGTGTGGGGAATAAGATTATATTTTAATGATTTGCGACAGAAACAAAAGGCGACGCTAATTCACTTCGCGGGATTGACAACTAGATTGGCACGCAAGGTATTTGCGACTGATGTTGCGTTCCATCGCAATGTATGACAAGAAGTTAATAACCATCGTAGATTTTGGAATATTTTCAAATGCATTATGTTTTGTCCCAAAAACCGCCACAGTCAGCGACAGTTTTAGTATACTGCAAGAACTTCGTAGCAAATTGAGTGTTTTTCTTTATTGTCAAATTTGATCCATTATTTTCTCATGAGTTCCTATCATGGCTGTTTGATAATTTATGTTTGTTTGGTAATTATTATTTATCAATTTATAAAATTAAATACTTTTGCCACATCTTATTTTATAAATTTTGTTAATGTAATTTTGAACAATGTACAACAATAACAAGTCAATAACAACTCAGTTGGGTTCCACTAAAAAATCCTATGAAATATAATATAAGAGGTGATATAACTATTGAATTTTATCAAATAATTAATGAATCATATTATTAAACAAATATTATTGAGATATTTAAATAAAAACTTCGTGGGACTTCGAGAATATTAAAAAAGGAGACCCTATAAAAATAGTATTACTCTATACTATTTCGATTTTTAAAATTATTTTCATTTATTTAAATAAAAAATGTATAAAAAACAGTTTATCATTTTTTTAAAATAGTTAATACAATAGAAAAAAAATTAAAGTAGAACAAAACATTAAAAACACATCAAAATAAGATTTTCATATTTAGATTGATTTAGAATATGAAGCAATTAAAATATATACCAACATTATGGCTTTTCAAATGATATCCAATATCTATCAAGTAGCCAATATTGTTTTTATGACTATCTTATCCAAATTTTCACATTTGGGAAATTTGGGAAACCAACATACTACAGAAAAAAACCACGCTACTCTTATCCCTCATCTCTAGTTACCAAACTAAAAGTCATGATTATTAATAATCTCACCCTAATTACACCAATTTTTATTAGTAACCCATTGAAACTAAATGTATAGACTACTTAATCTCACCCTAATTACACCAATTTTTATTACTGGTCTCTCGCGAGCGATGAGCGGGGACATTAGAGGTCGAAGAGCAGACAAAACCCTAGAAAAAAAGGCGAGCAGCTTACTCGAGAAGGTTGTGCACGCGGCTCTGAAAAGGCAAAAAGAAAGATGTGTACATATTGGACTTGAAGGAGATGTGTTTGATTGGACATGGCTCTATGTACACTTGAGCATCAACAATGGCAAGGCGAAAATAAAATATCACATGGTGACATGGAACATTTTAACCAATAAAAAATAGTCCAATCAACGTGTGACAAGTAAATGGAGTGGCAAGTCCTACAATGGCAAGTCATTATTTTTTATCACTTTTTTACATTTTTTTATGTTTTTAAACATAAAAAAATATTTTTATTATTTATTTTATTAAAAAATTATTCTACTTTCTTGTATATTTTTTCATAAAATATTTTTAAAAAAAATATTTTAAAAAAATAAAAAAAGAAGGATAAAGTGCCACCAGACCTGGCAAAACGGTCGGTCAGGTCGGGTTCGGGTTCGGCATTATCGGGTTCGGGTCACTTCGGGTTCGGGTCTAAGAATGCTTGTTCATGACTCAGAGCTATCGAGTTTGGGTTGACCCAACGGGTTAGGAGACGTATTTAGAAATTGAAACTTTTCCACTTAGAGATGAAGTGATCAATGCATTTTTCAAAACAAAGGAAAAAATTCATTCAAAACATCAACAAAAAAGTAACTATAGCAAAAAATTCTAAACATCATCATGTCCCAAATGAACCATCCAAGCACACTTATCAAAATGCTATATAATTTAGAGTTCAATTAATACTACGAACTTCTCTAAACAAACACACTAGCTAGCCACAAATAATGTAATTTATGGAACAAATAGTCAGTCACACATAGACTTGAAAGCATGATTTTAATGGGGTACAGTAAAATGTCCTTTGTTTATTGTAGAAACCAGCCGAGGAAGAAACCAGCACGATTTTAATGGGGTACAACACAATCACCATTTATGTGTTAGAGATTGTGGAGTCAAAACATATGAGTATATAGCTGATCCAAATGTCCCAGCATGCTAATTGCCAACAAACAGCAATATGTGGACTTGCGAAGTAATGAAGTATATATGATACTCCAAGAGTCCAGGACAAACCAATACTCCGTAAATAGAAGAAAAAAAACAGATTAAACAATACTCTGTAAATAGAAAACACAGATTTTAGATTTTAAATTTTAGGAGAAAGTTAAACATGAGTTACCTATAGACCCAACTGAAGATGATGAATTGAAATTAGGAATTCCACTACTGTGTTTATTTCTTCTCACCATTGAGCCGACGCCACCGGAGGTCGGAGGATGATTGACGGATGACAGTAAAAATTGGCAGAGACTCGGAGAAAATGGGAGAGGGAGAGTTGGCCGATGGAGAAAGTGTGAGAGGGAGAGTCGGCCGATGGAGAATCTGAGAGGGAGAGTCGGCCGATTGAGATTCGGAGAAATCGTGAGAGGTTGACTGCAACAATTGGCGGAGATTAGGTTTAAGGGCCGGTTGTGTTTTCAGGCTTATGTATGAATAATAAAGAAAAATGTAAAATCTTAATTCTTAATCTTGGAATGCCTAACCCGTTGGGTCAGACCCGACCCGACCCGATCTGACCCGAAATTTTAACAGGTCTTCGGGTTCGGGTTATTTCGGGTTCGGGTCACAAAAATTGTGTTCAAAACCCGCTAATTTCGGGTCGGGTTTCGGTTAAAAAACGGGTCGGGTCATATTTTGCCAGGTCTAAGTGCCACACTCATGCCTCACAAAGCAAGCCATTTTGGCCTTGCCATGCCATGATATGAGTGGAAGAAGATGATGTGACAGTGCAAGGCATCTCTTTTACTTGCCATTGCACATGCTCTAATAGCCTGGCAATGAGTTAAACTATACGGTAGAGGTACACTTTAATAGCCTGCCACTAATAGACCTCATAGCCCCATTTACTCCGAGCTCCCCAATTTGCAATGACCAGGCCCAAAAAATTAGGCGGGAACACTGTACAAAAACACATCCTACCATTGTTGTCTTCGTTTTATATATTTCTTCCGTTGCGCAAAACGAAAAAAAATCCTATTTTTTTCCAATCTATTTTATTTAAATATTAGTATAGAAATAAAAAATAAAATATACGGAGTACATATTTAAAAACTACATCAAAAGTTCAACAAAATAAGGGGTGACAAGAATATTTTATTTTATCATATAGGCCATGAAAAAATACAAATAAATACGGAGTATAAATTCCCGTGAAGTTGGAATAGTGCTATGGGGAGAAAGTTTTAGGACGGAGGGAGTTTATATTAAGATTGATACTCCGGAGTAACTTTGACCTCAAATCAAATAAAAATAATATTAGATATTCCTACAAAAATAGTTTTATTAGATTTATTACATCAAATATTTTCAAAATATTAATTTGTCTAATTAATATACAATACTAGTTACATATTTAATTTAATTTAATTTTAGATCAAAGGTTAAAAACAATTAAACAAAAAAGTTAAAATTGGACAAATACTCAGTTACGGAAGTAGTATTGATTTTAAACCCAAAAAAGTGACTGGGCCTCTCACCCAATTGCGTCCGGAAACTCCCCCTTTTATACTCTCTATCCGGAAATATTCTTCGCATTTGACTTTTCACGGTCTTCAATATTAAACTTTGACTATTAATATCTACGGAGTATATTTATACATAGATATATTTTATAAAAAAAATTTAAAAACACCTCTTTAAAAAATTAAAAGCATAAAATTAAAGTTTTAACTTTTTAAGCTCCAACAAATCTCCACGTGCTTATCTTTTGTCTGTCCTCGGACAAAATTGATAAAAGAACAAAAAAGAACAAATAGTTTCTAAAAGCATCTCCAATCATCCTACTTTGGCTTGCTAAAAGCCATAATATAGCAAATCAACCTATCTTTTTTATTTCCAATGGGTTTGTTTAATTTTAGCAAGCTTGCCAAAAAATAACCTTGACTTGTTAAATATAACAAGCTCTTCAAATTATAGTAAGCCAAGAGTTATAGAATGGATTAACAAGCCATGATTGGAGAATGCAACAAAATATCACTTGCTATGTCATTATTCACTTGTTAAAATATAAAAATAGCAAGTCAATATAATATACAAGATTGGAGATGCTCTAACAAGGGTCGTTTTAAACAAAAGCTTAGTGACTTGGTTTGTTTTCTTTCTTTAGATACTAATATCATACGTGTGCTTTACACAGCTTATATTTGAGTTATACATCTTTGTAGGCATCGTTAAAAAGTAAAAAAAATTAAATCCTATAATGAAATTTAAACATCATGTTTTAGTTTATCTCAGACAAAAATATCATATAATTTACAAATTTTAAAAAACTTCTTTGTAACCTATATTAGTGGTGCATTTGGGAGAAACATGATCTACATCGTCAATAAAAATCTTCAAGCAAATTTCACACAAAAAATTTTTTATTTAGGAAATAAAAAATTTTTAAGTTTTATTTAGTGCAAATTTCACACAAAAAAACAGGAACTTTATAAGAGAGAAATTATAAGAGCCGTATACTCCCTTTGCCCCTGAGTATTTGTCCACTTTTGATTTTTTTAAGTCAAAATTGGTATATTTTAACCTCAAATTAAATAAAAATGATATTAAATATTGATACAAATTTTTTTATTAGATTTATCATATCAAATATTTTCAAAATATTATTTTATTTAATTAAAATACAATGTATATTTTATTTAATTAAGGTTGAAACAGTTGACCGAAGAAAGTAAAAACTGGACAAATACTCAGAGACGGAGGTAGTAATAGAGAATAGCAAATACTCCGTAGTATAAGACAAGTTGGAATGTTTTACTACGGATGTCATGTTAACCCCAACTTATTATTTTTACTTTTTACTTATTTTTATTAGAATTAAATCAGATCATCAGACCAAAACCAATCAGATCAAAAACCTGACTATAGTACTCGTATATTACTTACATGATCAACTGCATCATTTGGATCTGACTCAACACATGTTTTAACTCATATTCCCTCCGTCCCTCAGTTTTTGTCTACTTTTGACTTTTGGAACTGTTCATCTAAGCACTTTGACTCATCAAATTCTCCCAATGTGTAAGTCTAAATATAGTTATGTGTGATCTTGTTTGATTTATCTTAACATATAGATTATTAATACTCCCTCCGTCCCAAAAAAAATTGGACGGTTTGACTTTTTGGAAAATTAAGGGAGAGATATTTTGATACTGACTTTCCAAAAATACCCTTGATGTGATGGGTAAAAGTAGGATGTGATAGGTAGATTATTAGAAAAAAGGTATGATGTGATAGATAGGGTATGAAAAAAGTAAGGAGTATAAGTGGTTTTTTAATAGAAACGTAACAGACTTTATGGAACGGAGTTTTTTCTAAACTTAACAAACTTTTTGGGACAGAGGGAGTATATAATTTCTATAATTTTTTAATATACAAATTACAAGAGAAAATGGATTAAAAAATGCATTGGATGGTGTGTAAAAATGAAAGTAGACAAACAAGGGGCGGAGGGAGTAAGATTTTCTTGGAAAGTTTAATTAGCAAGGATTTAATACTAAGTATTCCGTATATGCTTGAAATAAACAATTAGCAAGTACTCCGTATTTACTTTAACTAAAAAAATTAACACCAAAAGTATAGTTTATTTTGGCTTATGTTAAGGTCTATACAAGAATTTGCCAATGAGAAGGACTCAATGTTTGAGAAGACACCAAAAAATCTGAAAAGTTACGAGTTAGCTGAGTAATTGAAAGTTAATAGAGATTCATGACAATAACTTCGCACAAAACTGTAATGTGAAGACAATAAAAAAAATCTTTACCACACGCTTCAAATATTTCCAAAAACCTCTTTAAAAAAAACAAAGCATCACACAGAAATAATTGTATAAAAGTTCTCAAAGCCGAAATTCTGTTAATAAAAGGCAAGATAAAACTAGTCCTAGTTTGCTCTAGGGGTGGCCCACTCAACGTGGAGAATGAGATTATCATACCCATAGCCACCGAGCACTCTCTGGCTCGGTGGAACATAAGTTCCTTTTGAGGTGCCGGGTCCTACACCAGGAGCATCCGAGGTTGGTGGGTTTTCAAGAAAGCTGACTGTTTTTTGAGGGACAAGATCCTTGTAGGGGCACTTAGATGTCCACTGATCGCCTTTCTTGCCACAAGCACGGCAAACCATGAGGACAGCACCTGGTTTGTGTTGGGAAACAAAAACACAACACACAACACACACAAATATCTGCGAGAAACGAGAGAAACGGAACACAAACGACACACAAGAATTTAACGTGGTTCGGTTTCCCTAATCCACAGCTGCAACAGGAGGATTTTCTTATTTCACTTGTGCTGTCAAGATTACAAATACAAGCCCTCTATATATAAGGGAAAAACTAGGGCTACGCATAACTGGGCCGGGCCGACAAACAAGCCTCCACAAAGCCCAACATTCTCCCACTTGGAGGCTTGATAGTCATCAACTGCCATCCACCACGATTGCCTGTATATCGAGTAATCTTCTTCAGCTCTCTTGTTGCAGCGGCCCTATCATCAGACAACTGAAAGGCCCGTTGAAGCTCTCCCAAGCTCCAACACATCAGTCACGACAAAATCTGCCACTGACTCGTCCTCGGTCCCTACCGGCTCCCACTACAGATGCACACTGCCGGATCCTGAAACATCCTGAGAACAAACACTCTCCGTACTCAGCAAGAAATTTTCCGGAGATGTTCCAACAGCTGGAATACTGGTTCTTCTGACCCACTGTCTTCTAGGCAACTTGGCTGAAGCGCCTCTTGAGCTCCCACTGCCATAAATACCTCTGACTGGCCCCCTTGAACCTTTCCGCGCTCGTTCATCCTGAGTCTGACCAGTGGCTCTAGGTTTCTCTCTTGCACAGACAACCTTATTCTGCCCACGAGACTCTGTGAACCGGACTTTGTTTCTCTTCTGAACTGGGACGGTCACTCCCTCAGAGGGTAACTCGACCATATACAGCGAACCTCTCTTTTTTTTCACAGGCCATGACAAGATTTCCTTTCACGACCTTCCACTGCCCATCTCTGAACTTAACCTTGTGTCCCTGTTCGTCCAACTGCTTGACAGAAATCAAACTTTTCTTCAAGGCTGGAACCACTCTAACATCCTTCAAAGTCCAGAGACCGACTGAGGTCTTCAGCACTATATCACCCATACCCGTCACATCAAGAGCACTGTCGTCCGCTAGTCGTACCTTTCCAAAGTCCCCAACAACTAGATTCTGCAATGCTTCACCGCTGTGGGTAGCATGAAATGAAGTACCAGAATCTATGACCCAGGAATCCACATTGCTTTCCTCACAGCAAGTCAGAGTGACCTCCTCGTCACTCGCAGAGCCTTTAGCAATGTTCACTTTATTATCATTTGGGCATTGATTCCTAAAATGCCCCACCTCCTTGCACTTCCAGCACGTTACACCTGAGCTATCCCGAGTCTTCGACTGACTCCTTCGTCTGTTCTCGCTCCCACTACTTCTGCTATTTCTTCTACCTCTGCCAACATATAACAATTCACCAGATGACTCTCCAGAACTCTTTCTTCTGACGTCCTCGCCAAGAACGAGATCTCGAATCTGATCAAAGGTGAATCCATCGGGTCCCACTGAACCGGTAACTACTGTAACCGTTCCAGACCAACTATCAGGTAAAGACAATAGCAGTAGCAAAGCTTGAACTTCATCATCGAACTTAATGCCCACTGACAAAAGTCTGGCTAAGATCGAATTAAGCTTATTAATATGCTCGGTAACTGAAGTGTCTTCTTTCATTTTTGTGTTCACCAGCTCTCTGATCAGAAAAACTTTGTTCACTGCAGATGGCTTCTCGTACATGTTAGACATCGGTTCCATAATTCCCTTCGCTGTCTTCTCCTTTAGAATGTTGAACGCAACATTCTTGGTCAACGAGAGACGGATCACAGACATAGCTTTCCGATCCAAACCTGCCCAATCTGCATCCGACATCTTTTCTGGCTTGTCACCCAAAACCACGTCCAAATCTTTCTGAACCAGCAAATTTTCAATTTGCATCTTCCACCAACTGAAATTTGTACCATCGAACTTCTCTATTCAGAACTTCCCATCTTTTGCCATCTCAAATGACTAGACGAGATACCCGGTACAACTAATTTCAGATCTTCGTATTTTTTCGTCAGAAAATCAGGCCCACCACACCAATTAAATTAGCCAAAACAAAAACAGGTCCAATAACCACCAACAAGGAAATTTACGGCTCAAATCTGATAAAAACCCAATAAGAAAAGAATAGCCCACTTACCTTTCTTCCTTTTTTTTTCCTTTCTGCCAAAGCTCCGTACCTGCCCAAAGAAAAAAAACCCTTTTTTTTGCTCGGTGGCCTCTTCTTCTTCGCAGGAAACGGCGGCTGGAAATACTGGGTAACCGCAGCTGCAATCTGGACGACTCCTCAGCGGCGGCTTGGGTCAGCGGCTACACCTTCTCCAAACGGCGACAAATCTGCGGACGGCGATGGCTCTCTGGCAGGACGACGGTGGCTACTCGGCGAGCGGTCGGACGACACCTGCTCACAGACGGCGGTTGACGGCTGGACGGAGGGCGGCGGCACCTTCTCAACCCGGCGGCAGTCTCGCTCGACAGAATCACTTCTCCTCCAGCGACGGCGACGTCCGGTTGTGGGACGATTCCTCCGCGGGGGCGCCTGGACGGATCAGCGGCTGCTCCGCGCGGCTGACGGCGGCAGCGGCTTCTTCTCAGATCTGATACCACTTGTTGGTAAATAAACACACAACACACAACACACACAAATATCTGCGAGAAACGAGAGAAACGGAACACAGGAGGATTTTTTTTATTTCACTTGTGGTGTCAAGATTACAAATACAAGCCCTCTATATATAGGAGAAAACTAGGGCTATGCATAAGGGCAGCCAATGCATCCGCTGCTTTTGCCTCTTCTGCTGCTTTGGAGCATGTTATTGTTAAAATCAATAGGATCTCGTTCGTTAGTTGAATTTAAGTGACTATCATGCCATCTCACTCCATGTGCATACATGTGAAACAGTAACTCATTCAAGATTGAGAAAGAGATATAACACCCATAGTTTTCAGAACCGAACCAGTGACCGAACCGATCAAGGCACTGGTTCACTGGTTTACTGGTCGAACCAGTGGTTCGAGTGGTTGAACCAGTGGTTCAAACATTTTTAATAAATAAATAAATATAAATATATATATATATATATATATATATATATATATATATATATATATATATATATATATATATATATATGTATGTATGTGTGTATGTATGTGTATGTGTGTGTATGCATATATGTATGTATGTATAGACACATTGTGGCATTGAATTAAAAAACTAATATATGAGTAAATAAAATAATATTTCCTCTATTTATAAATAAAGAATTGATGTTTTACTAAATTTATAATTTAACTTAATTTACTTGACTTGCTTCATTAAATAAAAAATAAAATTTACTTATTTTAAAAAGCTTATAAATAAAAAGCGATTTGAATTTTTTTTAAACATTTTACCTATTAATTTAAAAATATATACTCCTTCCGTCCCAAATTATAATGTCTGTTCACTATTCACAGGGTCAAACTTCATTCACTTTCTTTCTCTATTTTTGTTAGCAATTTGATAAAATAAAATACTATTGTCACTACTAGTTTTGTAGATCTTTTCATGTAGTTTTTTAATATGTAATTTTTATTTTTTAATTCTATACCATTTGTCATATAAAATGGTTTGAAAATAATTTCAGTCAAACATCGTAAACCGAAACAGACGTTATAAAATGGGACGGAGGGAGTATAAAATATTTGTGTGATATGCACTCCATATCAGTTATATCAATGGGTTTTGAATTTTTTTTAAAAAAAAAACTAAATATGCACATATATATCTATAGTATTTGAGAGAAAAATTTAGTTTAGGAATATAAACAACGAAATGTAGAGAGTCACCACTAAGCTTTGTAGTAGAGATGGATTCCAGCTGCCACGGCGGTAAAACCGTCCGGTTTCACCGGTTTTAACCGGTTCCCTTCGATTCGCTGCGGATTACGGTCTGATTACTCGGACCGGACCGGTTTGGTGTCCGGTTCCCGGTCCTGTTTTTAAAACTAGGATACCACCACATTCTCTCAGTTTATCCTCACTTGAAACAAGGCTAAAAAGTTACTCCCTCTGTCCCATTTTATAACGCCTGTTTCGGTTTACGATGTTTGACTGAAATTTTTTTCAAATCATTTTATATGACAAATGGTATAGAATTAAAAAATAAAAATTATATATCAAAATACTACATCAAAAGATCTACAAAACTAGTAGTGACAACAATATTTTATTTTATCAATTTGCTAACGAAAATAGAGAAAGAAAGTGAATGAAGTTTGACTCTGTGAATAGTGAACAGGCATTATAATTTGGGACAGAGGGAGTACGTGGTATATGCATGTATGGAATAAAAACACATGTAATTTCAATCAATGTAGGAAACATAAACTAATAACAACAGCGATACCCAAGGGTTCATAAATCACAAATTATTATTACCTCGGATCATGACTAAAGAAAACTATAGCCTTCACTATATAAAATTTAGAGAGTCAAGCTTTAAAAAAATAGAACCTTGATGGTGGTATAAGCTTATCACTTCATACTAAACTAAGTTCCAAGTGGTAAAGATTACTACTTGGAGCTCTAGGCATTTCTCTTATAGTGTTTGGGAGTTAATGACTTTTATTTCTGACTTTTTGTCCCTTCACTGCACGCGCAGCCCATAAATTGACTGGTCCAATCAATGTCTCTCATCCAAGCACTTTAGGCAGGAAAAGATAACTGTTCATCTTTTCTTTTAGCTTTGTATGATTACTTAAAGATTAAAGATTAAAGATAAAGCTTAAAGACTAAAGATTTGTCACTTTTGACTTTTTTTGTCAAAATTAATAAAATTTGTTCTCAAATTGATACTTCATCCGTCTCAAATTATTTGCCACATTTGTATTTCCGAGGCAAAATATCAAGTTTTTTCAATTTATTTTATTTACATATTGGTAAAGAAATAAAAAATAAAATTTACATATAAAAAATCTACACGAAAAGTTCTTCGAAATAAGGGGTGTCAAGAATATTTTATTTTATCAAATAATTAATGAAAACTTTGAAATAAACAAAAGTTCCCGACACTACTGAAAAAGAAAATGTTGTAAATATTTAGGGACGGAGCGAGTACAAAAATAGTTTTATTATATTTTTATTACCTCGGATCATGACTAAAGAAAACTATAGCCTTCACTATATAAAATTTACAGAGTCAAGCTTTAAAAAAATAGAACTTTGATGGTGGTATAAGCTTATCACTTCATACTAAACTAAGTTCCAAGTGGTAAAGATTATTACTTGGAGCTCTAGGCATTTCTCTTATAGTGTTAGAGTAAGATTGATTAATGTTGTGCTTATGGGAATTGTGACTTTGTGGTCAAAGATTTTCCTTCTCCCTAAAAAGGTCTTAAACATAATTGAGAGTGTTTGTAGGAATTTTCTTTGGGGAGGTTCTTATCTTATTATTATAGGAGAACACCTCTACTTCAAGCTGTAATCCTAGAAGATGTGGAGGCCTTGGCATAAAGAATATCATCAATTGGAATAAGGCAACTATTAAGAAATTAAATTGGGATATTGCTAGTATAAAAGATGTGCCTTGGGTTAGGTGGATCCATAGCAGGTATATCAAAACCTCAAATTTTTGGGACTATATCCCTGAGCTAAGCTCATGCCATTATTGGAGACAAATGATTAAAGTGAGAGATAGCTTTAGGGATATGCAATGCGCGAATGATTATACTCTCAAGAAGGCTTATGACTAGATCCAATGGGTGAATACTAAAGTCTATTGGGCTGACTGGGTGTGGAATAAGTTTACCCCTCCCAAAGCCCAATTTATATTAAGCTCCTTGCAAAGGAAAGGATGAAAAAATGGCTTGAGGTTGATACTTGATACTAAGTGCAGCTTGTGCGGTGTTTTCCAAGAGGATAGTAAACATTCGTTTTGTGAGTGTGAGTACACTTTTGGTGTACCAAAATATAATTAATGCTCTGTAAAAATTGGACTTGTCAATGCAGGCTTTTTGTCCCTTCACTGCACGCGCAGCCCATAAATTGACTGGTCCAATCGATGTCTCTCATCCAAGTACTTTAGGCAGGAAAAGATAGCTGTTAATTAAAGATTAATTAAAGATTAAAGATTAAACATTAAAGATAAAGCTTAAAGACTAAAGATTTGTCACTTTTGAATTTTTTTGTCAAAATTAATAAAATTTGTTCTCATATTGATACAAAAATTGTTTTATTAGATTTTTATTACATCAAATATTTTTAAAATATCATTTTATCTAATTAATATACAATGCATATTTTATTTAATTATATGTCAAAGGTTGAAAATAGTTGACGAAAAAATCAAAACTGGACAAATGCTCAGGGACAGCGACGGTATTTGATTTTAAACCCAAAAAAGCAACTTTTGATCCAAGTTTACTCAAATGAATAGTCATATGGCCTCTCACCCAAATGAATTGGTCCTTAAAGTTTCAAAAATCCATAAATAGTCCTTCAATTTTATGAGTTCTACACCATTAGTCCTTCAAGTTTCAAAAGTACATAAATAGTCCTTTAGGTACACGTCAACCTTCTATATTAAGTCCTTTTGACAGTAAATATTAAAAGTTAAACGAAAATTTAGTTTCACATGATACAAGTAAATTCTACTAGGTACGACCGCTCTATATTATATGAAGCTAGTATTTTATTAAGCTTTTAACATTTACTGTCAAAGGACATTATTTGTGGGACTGACGTGTACTTGAAGGCCTATTTATGCACTTTTAAAACTTGAAAGACCAATCGTGCACAATTGATAAAGTTGAAGGATCAATGATGGAGTTTAGCCAACAAAAAATAGAACTTTATCTAAATGAAGTTGTACTCGTTCCGTCTCATAAAAAAATCTATCATTGAATTAACACAAATATTAAAGAAAAATATATAGTTGAAATACTTCCTCTGTCTCTAAATATTTGTCACACTTGTATTCTCGATGCAAAATATCAAGTTTTTTCAATTCATTTTATTTATATATTGGTATAAAAATAAAAAATAAAATTTACATAAGTATCAAAAAACTATATGAAAAGTTTTCGAAATAAGAGATGTCAAAATATTTTATTTTATCAAATAACCAATAAAAACGTAGAAATAAACAAAAGTTCTCGTGCCTGAGAAAATGCAAAGAAAAGAGAAATTCTAAGAGCCATATAAGAGAGAATAGCAAATATGGAATGTTTTACTAGGGATGTCATGTTCTCCCCAATTTATTATTGTTAATTATTACGGAGTAATTGGTACTTATTTTTATTGGAATAAAATCAGATCATACCAAAAATAGCATTAAATATTACTCCGTATTACATGTTGTAGTACACTAGTACTCGTATAATACTTACATGACCAACTGCATCATTTGGATCCGACTCAACACATGTTTTAACTCATAAGATTTTTTTGGAAAGTTTAATTAGCAAGGTTCTAATACTAAGTATTCCGTATATGCTAATAAACAACAACAACAACAACAACAACAACCCAGTTGAATCCCACTACAGTAGGGTCTGAGGAGGGTGTGTGTACGCAGACCTTGCCCCTATTCGAAAGTAGGGAGGCTGTTTCCAAGAGACCCCCAGCTCAACCTGCACAAAAAATATGGTAGAGAACACAATATAAACAATTAGCAAGTATTTACTCTAACTTTAAAAAAAATTTAACACCAAAAGTATAGTTTATTTTACTGATATGAAGGTCTATACAAGAATTTGCCCATGAAAAAGACTCAATGTTTGAGAAGACACCAAAAAATCCGAAATGTTACGAGTTAGCTGAGTAATTGAAAGTTA